CTCTCTCTCTCTCTCTCTCTCTCTCTCTCTCTCTCTCTCTCTCTCTCTCTCTCTCTCTCTCTCTCTCTCTCTCTCTCTCTCTCTCTCTCTCTCTCTCTCTCTCTCTCTCTCTCTCTCTCTCTCTCTCTCTCTCTCTCTCTCTCTCTCTCTCTCTCTATCTCTACCATCATCATCATCATCCACTCAAAGGAGGGCGGTGGTTTGTGCTTCATGTTCTTCTTCATGTTCGTCTTCTTCTTCTTCTTCTTCTTCTTGATGCTCTTCTTGGATGAGCCGAAGCGTTGCGACGTGGGTTGATTGTGAGGCTGAATGAAGCATGTGTGTGTGTTTGAGTTGCCCGTCTCGCATTGCCCATTCTCACTCATTCACTCGTTGCACGCCTGCCAAAGCGAGCGTTGTTACTGCCTGTGACTGACTCGCCTCGCTCACTCTGTCGCGCGTCGTGTCGTTGGCTGATTTGTGTGCCTTCTTGTATTGCAGCTCGTTACTCGCCGTTCGTTCGTCGCGTTTCGCCCTGCTGCTTCAATCGATATCGTCAACACGCCCCCCCCCACCTCGGCCTCGGCCTCGACCTCGACCTCGACTCCTTGTGACCAACTCGCCCTTCTGAATTCGTCACCAAGCCGAATCACCAAAGCCGAGCCACTGCTGGAATCGCATCGGGTTTTTGCTGCTGATCCGCTTTCATCTCATTTTGCCTTTGGTTTGATTTTGCCCGCCCCACGAATCGATCGTCAACCCCCTCGACCTCGACCTCGACCTCGACCTCGACTCCTTGCCTTCTGAATCTCGTCACTACCGAATCACAACGCCGAGTCACTCGCACTTGAGCTGGTACAACGCACAAAGTTCCCCCTCCCGCCCTGTTCCCACCCGCCCTCTCCCGACATGCAAAACCTACTGCTCAAGAAGGCCAAAGAGTCGTCGTCGTCGTCGTCTTCATCGTCGTCGTCTTCATCGTCGCGAGACTCGGCAACGTCGGCATCGTCCATCGTGGCAAAGCTCCAGTTCGCAATGAAGGACCTGCCATACACGCATCTCAGCCAGGACGCAACCAACCGAGTGCTCGAGCGAATCTCAACGCGGTGGTCGGGTCCGAATCCGAGCGTCCCGCGCAGGTTTACACACCCCGAGCTCAAGTCACCCGTCCGACTCGAGACAATGCTGCAACTGCTGCGGGACTCTGCTCGGAGAGAGAATGCCGGCAACACCAAAAAGTCACATTCGTATGATCCAACGTACGCGTTTGCACTCGAGGACGGCCTGGCACGACTGGCAGCAACCACCGTCCCATTTGAGGAGCAAAACATTCTGAGCCAAGTCGTGCGCTCGAGCCATCCGCTTGCAGCGCTTCTCGGCCTGCTCAAGATGACAGCGTTGGGCCAGCCCAATTCGCACCAGTATCTGGCCAACTTTTTTTGCTTTATGCCTGGGGAGTTGATTGCCAGCACGTTCCGCGTCCTCACGCTGCTCGAGTACGACAACATTCAGCTCGAAAGCCTTCAACTCGCAAACGACCTTCTTCAACTGAAGCAGCCCTTGATCAACTTTGCCATGTTGGAAATTCCAGTCGCAGCAGTGCTCGTGTACTTGCTATTTGACCTGCACTGCTGGCCGGCTAATTCGCGGCATCTTGACCGCTACAAGTGGCAGAGTGACGTCTTGAAGACCAGTCCTGCAACGACACAACAACAAGAGGAACAACAACCGGAACAGGAACAACAACAACAACAACAACAACAACATCGACCCATAACTGGTCGCGATCGAAACGCCGAGATGCTCAAGGAGGCCCTCGGAGGCTACGCTGTGCAAAAACAGCACAAGCATACAGCCATTCCTTTCTGCATCCCGTCCGAGTCCGCATGTGCTGTCGCCACCGACACGTTTACCGAGCAGGCAATGTCCTGCATCGCGAACAAAAACCTCATTGGAGCGGAGCTGTACTTTACGCTTGCCACACAAATCACCGACAACAAGAAGACGCGACAGGCACGGTACCAAGCTCGCCATCAACTGTGCGCCTTCCATGGCGCGGCAAGAGACCTCTCTGCCATCTTTGGCATGCAGTGTGGCGATGAGCAACGCAACGAGTTTGAAATTGACCATACGGTGCGGTTTATCCAGGTCGAAATGGTGTACGAACGCACCATTTTGGCCGCCTACCTTGCCGGCCGCCACTTGGACAACCGTTCCCTCACGCCATTAGACCAGAGACCCGTCGACCAGTTTTCCGATCTCGCTGGATGGTTGCCGCTGTTCCTGTCTCTGCTCTGCCTCGACGACGATGGCGACGCGGCCAACAACACGGCTGGCGTGGCGCTGAACAAGTACCAGGACTGCCCGCTCCTCTTGACCTGCGCTGTCATTGCCGCCATGTCGTCGGCCGAGTTTGCCGTCAATGTCCAGATGCAAAATCAAATGCTTGACATGGTTGAGCTTTACATTGACAACCCTCACTACCATGCCATCCCGAGGGTGTATGCACAGTACTTGCTGGCCGACTCGCTCGATGCGTTCGCGGGCGTGCGCAAAACGATGGCAGAGTACTCCGAGACCAATCTTCCACTCCCACTCTCCGACCTGTTTGAGGTGATGGTTGTGGCGATGGACCGGCTGACGCTTTATCGCAAAAGGGGAGACCATTGCTTCCGTGACAGGCAGGTTGACGCGGCGTTCGCTGCGTACACGAACGGCCTTCGCGTCGATCCACGAGCGCCGTTCAGGTTTCGCGCGTCGCTGTACAACAGTCGAGCTGGCTGCTGCGAGCAGCTCGAAAATTACGATCTCGGCATGATGGATGTCGACCGAGCCATCGCCTTGTGGCCAACTCCGAAGGCCTTCCACCGCAAGGCTGACTTGTTTATTGCGCAGAAAAAGTTTGCGCTTGCTCGCGATGCGTATCACGAGATTGCCAACATCCAGCCGGGCGGGCAGGATCCGATAACGGCCAAGTTCCTGGCCAAGCTTGAGCGCGTCGTGCACGCGGGTCTGGAGTCAAAGACTGATTTCTATCAAACCCTGGGCGTCGCCCAAACTGCCTCTGAAGCCGAAATCAAGAAGGCCTTTCACGCACTCGCCCGAAAGCACCATCCGGACAAACAACCGCAGCAGGCGACTCCCTCCAAAGGTACCAAGCCCGGCAGCCTTGTCAAAACGTCCTTCCAGATGTTGAGCGAGCATACCTTCCAGCGAGCCGTCGAAGCTCATTCTGTGCTCTGCGACCCAGAGCTGAGGAGTTGGTACGACCAAGTTCTAACCAAGTTTGGCTTTGAGCCAAAGGACTGGCGAAAGTACATTGGTCAGGCCGACCTACTCCAAGCCGGCCCGGACGGGTTTGTTGATTTGAGTAACTTCAAGTGCGACAATCCAAAGTGCTCGCACTGCAAATAGGATGGGATGGATGATTTGTGTGTCTGGTTGTGATGGTTGAATGACTACTGTAGATGTCACGACTGAAATTTTACATTGTATTCTCGAGCACTGCCATACCAATAGTTGGCGTGGGGAATGGCAGGAACATTATTTTCACGCCCAAACAATGGTTTGTTTCAACGCCACCACAGGGCTGGATTTGTTTTGACAGGCACCCACAAACCCCCCCCCCCAAAAAAAAACAACCCAACAAAAAAAAAAGAAAAAAAAAAGCAATGCACACCACCAATTGAAAAAGGAAGCAGCGCACTCCCAATCCGACCCAAATTCGAAACCATGCCTACACGACGCACAAACAGACAGTTCTTAGGGATGCAATGCGCCGACAACCAAAGACGCAGCAACAACATCTTCAACAGCCATGCCAAGAGATTTAAAGACAATTGGCTTGACTGGAGATGTCTGAAGCGGCAGATATGCATTGCTCGAAGCAAGCGTATTCAGTGTGCTTGTAGCGTTTTGAGCGCGAGCAATCTCGTCGCGGCGTGTGAGGAGCTCGCCCAATTCGCCGGCCACGGTGGCCTGGGAAAGAATGATATCGCCCGACTCTTTCAAGGCACCCGCAAGCGAATCGGCAATCACAATGGAATTTTGCATCAAGGCATCGTCCATTTCACGCCAGTTTGGCCGACAAGCGCCGACGGCGGTGACCATCGCGCCGGGCTTGACGTACTCGCCGAGGAGAATTGGCTCGGTGGCCGAGGTGGCGCAGACAATCACGTCGGCACCAAGCGCGGCATCTCGAGGTGTCGATGCGACTGTGACTTGAACGGGACTCGGATTCTCAGACGACGAGGAGTGGGCGGTCTGAGACGCTTGCTGCCTCGTGATTCGATCTGCGAGTGCGTGTGCGTTCGCTGGCGTCCTGCTCCAGATGCGCACGTGCGTGAATGGGCGCACGAGACGCATTGCCTGCCAGTGAGACCACGCCTGCGCTCCAGAGCCGAGAATGCAGAGCACGGACGAGTCCAGCGGGGCGAGCAATCTCGCAGCGACCGCCGAGACAGCCGCAGTGCGCAGCTCAGTGATGACGCTGCCATCCATGAGCGCGGTCGGGATGCCCGTTGTAGGCTCAAACAGAGCAATGACGGCGCTGTGGGTCGCGACGCCCCGCGGGTTGTGCGGGTAGAACGTGACGAGCTTGACCCCGAGCGCGCCCGAGGACGCGGACGACGACGACGAGGACGACAAAGCGTGGGCCTGAGATGATCCAGATGAAGCTGGCGTCGACGAGTGCTGATGATGGTCGGATGGATGGACGAACGCAGGCATCAGAGCGAGAAACCCTTCGTGCGCTCCCACCGTCGAGCGAACGGGCTGCGTCACACGGCCGCCGGAGAAGGCGCGCAGAGCTCCTTCCATCGCAAGGATGAGCTGCGGCATCTGGAGCACCCGCTGGACTGTCTCTGCAGTGTAGAACGGAATCGCAGACGCAGCGCCGTGCATTGTGCGAGAAATGGGGGGGGGGGGAAGAATTGGGAGAATTGGATGGATTTCTGAGAGAAACTCAGACTGAACTCGGCATTCAAAATAAAAACTGGATTCCTGCGACTTGTCAACAGTCCAACGCGGGACACTCATCGATCCACAGTGGCTGTGTGCGGCTGGTCGAGCGCAGAACAAAACCAACTCCGCGAGTGCTAGCGACCGGCACCCTATCGGTGTGATTGCGACACTGCCTGGTGCCGGCAAGACGGCTTTCTGCGAGATCATTCATTCGAAACTCGCAAAGCAGGTGTACAATGACGAAAATTTCAGCAGTTTGAACGTCACATTCAACAGTCGAATGGCATTCAAGTCGTCGGAATGCTCGCTGCATCCTGAACACGCCGTGGCCTGGCGTATGCTCGCCGATGATGTGCGGCTTTTGGGTGATCGAATGAACAGGTTCCGCCTGACCCTCTCTGGCTCATTCGCCGTAGCAACCACCATTCACTACATCCGCCAAGACTTTATCCGGCTCAAAAACCTGCCTTCGAACACGGTCGTACCGGTCGTCGTCACTCTTGATGAAGTGAGCATGCTGCTTGGACAAACAGTCGACGAGAAATTCGACCGCGAGTTTAGCACGTTGCCGCAATGGCGCCAAGAACGTCGGTTCATCAAATGGGCTATCGCGCCACTGCGAGAATTGTCGAATTCAGGCGGGAAGGTTACTTTATTTATGAGTGGGACGCGTCCTTTTGCGCTGAGCGACGCTGTCCAGGTGGACATGTCCGACAAAGTCACCGGGAGCAGGTTTTTCGCTTGGTTGATCGAGATGCCACGTCTCTCTGGCGCTGCCTCGGCTCAGCTGGCGACCCGCCGTAACAACAACGCAGCTTGGCATCGAGATGTTTGGACGACGCTGTTGCTCCAGCGAGCACTGGGCATTCCTCGCCAAATTAACAACATTTTCACGACCGACAACCGTTCCATGCCGATCACGATTGATCCCAAGTCTTTGATTGCTTTTGTTCGAGCCATTGCTTTCAAGTCGACTCTTGACGATTGGGCAGATGCTCGGATTGACAGGTTGGTGGATCTTGGACTCTGCTTTTGGACCTCACTCTCTCAGTATTCCTTCTCTCAGCAACTGATGCTAAACCTGCACTTTCTCGACCTTGTCAAACTCGGTGAGTCGCTTGCTGACGTTGCATTTTGTCCTTGCAACGGCTACTTACTGCACTTTCGTGCTTGCCCGCCCCGGTGTCTGCAGATGATGACCAGTGCGCGTATGGCCACATCGCCAGCAAACTGCTCACTGAACTGCAAACAATCGGGAAGATGAGTCAGCCGGAGACTGTTAATGACAATGCGGTCTCTCTTCCCTCGCACAACTGGGAGCAAATTGTGCCGCGCTTGCTCAACCTGCGCCTGCTTGTGGAGCTGTGCGATGCGTGCGCCAAAACCAAGGGCGCACCACAGGCTGCCGATCTGACACTACCTCTTCCCACACTGTTTGAAGGCGCCGTCTTGAGCGACGACTTGCAGTCAGTCATGGTCGTTTTGCGACAGTTTGAGCGAGCGGTCGATTCGATTCCAGATGGGTTTTCCTTGACCCGCGTCAACGAGGAGTTCAGCGATTTGAATGCCAGCTTTGTGTCGGTCAATGGTTCGGACGTAAGAGGTCGAAACGGTCTTGTTGACTCCAAACTACATGTATGCGCTGCCACTCACATGCATGACAACAGTTGACTGTGAAGGGTCAAGTCAAACTTCGAACAGGTGTCGCGCCCTTGTCGCAAGCAAACGCCAATCAGTTGATCTCCAATCAACGCAGCACGCCAACGCTTATTGCTGGGCTTGTCACGACACAGACAATGTCCAAGCCGGTCGCGTCTGGCAACCTCGACGACAGATCTTGGCACGTCTCGCGCAATGAACTGGGCGACTTCTTGTGCGGTCTTAAGCCTGTTTTTGATGGTATGCAGCAGAGATTTCTGTTTTGAGCTTATTGTCGCATGGATGTGCTCTCAGTCTGGCTGAACTTTGCAAAAACAACGAAACAAACTGTCGCAGCGCTCTCGTTGTACAACCCGAATTTGTCGGACGTGCCTGCTCTTACCAACCAATTCTACAACAGCAAGCTGACACAAGCTGAAGCTCGCGATTTGGCGCAGCGGTTTTTCGACAAGCGCAGCGCAGACAAAACGGCTTATTTCGACAACCACGCGAAGCTCCACCAGTTTCTGAAAGACATTGACCCCGGTCTTGCTGCGAAACTCTCCCCTCCGGATCTCACCTGGTACTTTGACGAACAGCCACCTGTGACAAGCCCGATCAATCCGTACTGAACGTTTCCTGGGGAGCACAATGGGGTTGTTCTTTTTCTTGTTCTTGTGCTTGTGCTTGTTCTTGTTCTTATCTTGTTCTTGTTTTTGTTCTTGTTCTTGTGCTTGTTCTTGTTGTATCAGGTGAAATGTGCACTTAAAACATTTTGACCCGTCTAAAGCTTTATTGAGAATGACAAAGAAAGACACAAAAAGAACGGATATGGGACAGTTGAATGTTGTTATAACGCACACAATGAAGGCATGCGGGTAGAGAGCTCGAACAGATGATCAGCCGGGCTGACAATGGAGAGATCAGGCATTCCCCACATATACTATCCCGATCATTAAATTTCGACCCCCCTCTTTTTTTCACTTTTTCGCCCTCCCTGGGACCTGTGTTGCTTTCCGTCTCGCCCGCGGAATGTTCATTCATGGTACGGTGTACCGAACGTCTGATGAACACCGGGAGCGGGGGTTGTGAGTCATATCAGAGCAGCAGCGAGCAAAATAAAAAATATAAGGAAACTCAAAAAATTCACTTTTCCCGCCCAAATTTTGGTTTGGGTTCAGTCTTTTTGTGCGCATGACTCGCACACGCAGTCAGTCCACGTCCCGCGTGGCTCCCAGACAGCCCCCGGTATGGCCGCGTCCAACTTCACCAAAAAGACCGCTGCCCGTGCTGGACAAGATGCCCAGGGAGGTCGTCCGCGGTCAAGTGCTCGCGTTGCGAAATGCTGGCCTCTCCTACAACAAGATCGCCACCCAGCTTCACCTCCCACGTTCTACAGTGATCAGCATCACCCAACGTTTCTCGGGAAGGGCGACGACGAGCGACAGCCCCCGCCCCGGTCGCCCCAGCAAGCTCAAGTCATTTCACCGCAACAACATTGTAGCACAGATCCTCCTCGATGAGTCCGACACCGCACCCGAAGTGGCCGCCACTATGCGCACATTGTCCAAAGTTCGTGTCTCTCCATGCACGATAAGAAGGGTGCTGCATGGTGCAGGACTTGTCAACGGAGCGAAGGTCAAAAAAGCCCTCTTGAAAGAGACACACAAAGAGCGACGCTTGGCCTTTGCACTCGCTCATCAGCATTGGACCGTCGATGACTGGCTGAGGGTCGTCTTCTCCGACGAGACTGCTCTCTATCTCTACAGGAACAACAACGGTGGTCGTGTATGGCGTCTGGTTGGCGAAACGTTGACCGATCGATGCGTGCAGGGCACGGTCAAGTTCGGCGGTGGCCATATCAATGTTTGGGGCGCCATCTCTCGTTTCGGAATTTCGCTTTTCTGCGAGGTCGGCGACGTCATGAACGGCGACACCTACCTCTCAGTTTTGGAGAGCGAGTTGCTAGCAAGCATTCGCGTGTGGAACAACAAAAACGAGATGATTTTCATGCATGACAATGCCCCTTGTCACAAAAGAAAAGATGTGGCGAAGTGGTTCGAAACCAATCAGATCACCGTCCTGGACTGGCCTGCGAACTCTCCCGACCTCAACCCCATCGAAAATGCGTGGAACATGGTCAAGAACAAGATCTACCAGGAGAGGGAGATCAAGAGCAAGGCCGCGTTGTGGGAACGCTTCCAAGCGGTCTACGAAGAAGTGCTCACGCCAGAGGTCTGCCGCGATCTCATTTCATCGATGCCGCGCCGCATTCAAGCTGTGATAGATGCCAATGGTGGTTATACCAAGTACTGAAGTGGAGCGAAGGCGCTGCGACACGTTGTTTGTGTGCCATGTAATGCTTTGTGAAAATTGGGCAAAAAATCCGCTCTTTTTCTGTTTTTTTGAGTTTCATTTTTGTCTGTTCTCGCTTCGAATCTTAACTCCCAGCCCGCTGCTTCACTTCTAAAATGTGTCTGGTACACCGTACCATGAATGAACATTCCGCGGGCGAGACGGAAAGCAACACAGGTCCCAGGGAGGGCGAAAAAGTGAAAAAAAGAGGGGGGGTCGAAATTTAATGATCGGGATAGTACAGCACGAAAGACATGTTGCAAAAAGAGAAACAAACGCCAATGACAGGATTTCCAAAAATACTTAGTTGAACAGGTTCAGTTGCCGTTTCACCTTCATACCGTACGCTTGTCTTGAACTCGATGCTGAGTGCTCGTCTTTCGCTCATCAAAGTAGCATTCCGCGGTGCTGCTTCATGGACTGCCACGACTCTTGCGCCGAAACGTCTGCATGGTAAGGTTCTAGCTCCTGTTTTCAGTCCACCAATGCCTTTCCCGCTTCTGTGCTGCTGGTCAATGAGAGCCAACGCGCGGTGTATTTTTTATTGTCGTTGTGTGGGGTGCCATCGGCCAAATGTTGTTTCTCGCTTCTGTGCTGAGTTTCGCCTCATTACCGGGCATCAGGGCCCCTGGACTCGCGCTGCGCCCCGCGTCTACAAAGCCAACTCCATCACCTGCGTACTAGCAGCTGGTGACTGGTGTGCGTCGTCTCTTTCGGCTTGAAGACTTGTCTCGGCTGTGTTGCTTTTAACCAAATTAGGCAACCAATATTCTCTTGGCGATTGCAATGCTTCTCGACATCTCGACTTGAATGTGTGACAGCAAGTGCTACTTGCTTTGAAGAATACTGCCCAATCCACTCACTGCCTATTGTGCTTGTAGTTGCGCCACCCACTTCAGCCGAATCGGCCTTTGACGCCTTCCTCTCCCCCTCTGGCGCCGTCCTCGGTCCCTCCTTTGACGCCCTCCCGTTCCCCACCTTTGGCGGCGTCCGCTCCCGTATCGAGAGGAACTATGAACGCTCCAGCCTGCTCCTGTTGCCCCGCAGGTCCCGCTCGACCTCCGCTTCTGGCCCTCCGTCCGGGACTGAAGCCAGAGCCCCTGCTGTAAGCATCCTTATCATGGTCTTGAGTTGCATGTTCTCAGGCTCACACTGTGTCATCGTTCTAGGCGACTGTCGCTTCAGCGGAGCATGACCGTGCGTTGATTGATCGCCTGCCCGAACCCCTCCGCGAGCCTTTCGGTACGATTCCTCCACTGCTTGGGAGTGTAGAGTTGTTTCGCCGACTGACTTTGAACCGGCGTGACAACAGAGGCGAAATGGGAGGCACCCGCCCTTCGCAAGCACCTGCTCAAGGAACTGACGACTCCGGCAATTCAGCTGACACTTTCGAAACAAACTGCAATTGATGCGTTTCTGGCCGAGCTCAAAGCATTCAAACGCGTCACATCTGCCGCCGTTTCCGACGTTGTGGCGACACGCAACAAAGGTGTCGAGACGCTTTACTCAGCGGCAGATTCCAGGTCATTCGCTCAAACGTTCTACGGCTGGGTCGAGCAGTGGTCCAAGAACCAAGGTACGAACTGACGTGCAATAATTGTGTGTGTGTGTGTGTGTGTGTGTGTGTGTGTGTGTGTGTGTGTGTGTGTGTGTGTGTGTGTGTGTGTGATTGAGTGTTCTGTTCTGTTCTGTTTTGTGCTTACCTGTTGGCTTTGATCGTGCTGTGTTGGGAGTAGCTCCGGCAGAAGCCGCTGCCCGACCTCGAGCTGAACTTTCGGCAAACCAAGTTGCTGATCTCGAAGCTTCCCTCGCCTCCGCGCCGGCTCTTCCTGTCGGTCAGTCAACACGGTCCCAGAGTGAATGTGCGAATGCAGTCGACTCACCTCCTTCTGGCAAAATTTCAGGTGCTGATCCCATCCAATCTCGTTTTGACGCTTTGATGCGTGCTCGAGTCCTCAAGCACGCCGGTTGCAATTTCACAGTATTGAGATGAATTTGAGCTGAGATTGAAAGTGTCGGCTTCGTTGACTGACCAGTGTGCGTTTGCTTGCTTAGCCGATCCTGCTGCCGAATGAAAATCAGTATCAGGATGAAGGCATTCTTTCTATGTTGAAGGACCACTACAAGCAAGTTTTCACCTTACCTCCTGGTAATCCCAAGCAGTTTCCACTGGGAATCGTGGCTGGTATTCCTGGAATCGGCAAAACCCGTGCCTCCCTCGAGTATGTCAGGCACGCTGTTCAAATGACTCAAGCAAGCGGCCATGCCACAACAGTTGTCCCGATTTACGTGACCTACAACAGCACCACCCCTTTTGGCAGTTTGGATCGTGTACTGGGTGCTGGACTGAGCATTGCGTACCGCGTCCTGCTTTCTTACATCAACGAAGATAATTTTTGGAACCTCCCTAAGGTGCAAGAGGTGGCCGCTGCAATTGGAAGAGTCACGCTGTCGGAAGTTTTAGGCATCATCGCGATGCATGCCATGCAGTACCCGCCCAATCTTGTTCAACTTCAGGTCGCTGCTGCAGGGTCCTCGTCCAGCTCGAGTTCCAGCTCGCCCGCTCTAACTACCGCCAACCCGCCCCGAGTGATGTTTGTGCTGATTCTGGACGAGTTTCAAAGAGCCCTGATCCACGAGGGTGTCGCTCCAGAGCCGAGGCATCCTGTCTCAAACAAAATCGACAGTCCTTTTCTCCAGTCCATCGTCCAAGCCATGGTCACCTGTTCAATCCGGTCTATTTCACCGCAAACGTGGCATTGTACAGCCCTTTTTGCCGGCTTGACCTTCGTGCCCCTGGAGGAGCTCATCCGCGGCTCGTCGCATTCGCTTACGCGCTTTCCAGTTCCGTGCTTGACTTTCGGACAGTCGGTGGCTTATGTGAAGTATTACATGGAGACTCAGCGACCCACATCTTGGCCGCAAGACTTCGATATCACTCAAGATGCTGTTTTCCAACGCGTGTTGATGTACGCGTCCGGTCACGCCCGGAGCCTGGAGGCAATCTGCGCTACTTTGTCCACAAATGCTTTTGTGACCTATGTTGCGTCGTCCAACTCCAAATCGCTCAACGCAAGCGATGCTGAGCTGTTCGTCAAGGCGATCGGGTCGGCCCTCGAGAA